TCACTCTTTTTCCCTCATCAATTCTATGATTCACCTCATCTTTCATAGACCCATCCGCTGACACGTCCACTCCCAAATATCTGAATACGTTCACCTCCTCCATACTCTCTCCCTCCAATCTGATATTCAATCTTTCATCACCTAATCTTTTTGTTATCCTCATAACCTTACTCTTTCCTGTATTCACCTTTAATTTTCTTCTTTTGCACACCCTACCAAATTCATCCACCAATCTCTGCAACTTTTCTTCAGAATCTCCCAAGAGCACAGTGTCATCGGCAAAGAGCACTGTGACAACTCCCACTTTGTGTGTGATTCTTTATCTTTTAACTCCACGCCTCTTGCCAAGACCCTCGCATTTACTTCTTTTACAACCCCATCTATAAATATATTAAACAACCACGGTGACACCCACACATCCTTGTCAAAGGGCCCTACTTTTACTGGGAAAAAATTTCCCTTTTTTCCTACATACTCTAACTTGAGCCTCACTATCCTCGTAAAAACTCTTCATGCTTTCAGTAACCACCTCCTACACCATACACTTGCACATCTGCCACATTGCCCCCCTATCCACCCTGTCATACGCCTTTTCCAAATCCAAAAATGCCACAAAGACCTCTTTACCCTTATCAAATACTGTTCACTTATATGTTTCACTGTAAACACCTGGTCCACACACCCCCTCCCTTTTCCTAAAGCCTCCTTGTTCATCTGCTATCCTATTCTCCGTCTTACTCTTAATTCTTTCAATTATAACTCTACCATACACTTTCCCAGGTACACTCAACAGACTTATCCCCTATAATTTTTGCACTCTCTTTTATCCCCTTTGCCTTTATACAAAGGAACTATGCATGCTCTCTGCCAATCCTAGGTACCTTACCCTCTTCCATACATTTATTAAATAATTGCCCCAACCACTCCAAAACTATATCCCCACCTGCTTTTAACATTTCTATCTTTATCCATCAATCCCGGCTGCCTTACCCCCTTTCATTTTACCTACTGCCTCACGAACTTCCCCACACTCACAACTGGGTCTTCCTCACTCCTACAAGATGTTATTCCTCCTTGCCTATACACGAAATCACAGCTTCCTATCTTCATCAACATTTAACAATTTCCCCAAAATATTCCTTCCATCTTCCCAATACCTCTACCTCTCCATTTAATAACTCTCCTCTCCTATTTTTTAAATGACAAATCCATTTGTTTTCTAGGCTTTTTTAACTTGTTAATCTCACTCCAAACTTTTTCTTATTTTCAACAAAATTTGTTGATAACATCTCACCCACTCTCTTTATTTTCTCTCTTTTTACATTGCTTCACACACTCTCTTAACTTCTCTTTTTCTCCATATACTCTTCCCTCCTTGCATCACTTCTACTTTGTAAAAACTTCTCATGCTAACTTTTTCTCCCTTACTACTCTCTTTACATCCTCATTCCACCAATCGCTCCTTTCCCCCCTGCCACCCCTTTCCTGTAACCACAAACTTTTGCTGAACACTCTAACACTACATTTTTAAACCTAACCCATACCTCTTCGACCCCATTGCCTATGCTCTCATTAGCCCATCTATCCTCCAATAGCTGTTTATATCTTACCCTAACTGCCTCCTCTTTTAGTTTATAAACCTTCACCTCTCTCTTCCCTGATGCTTCTATTCTCCTTGTATCCCATCTACCTTTTACTCTCAGTGATAGCTACAACTAGAAAGTGATCTGATATATCTGTGGCCCCTCTATAAACATGTACATCCTGAAGTCTACTCAACAGTCTTTTATCTACCAATACATAATCCAACAAACTACTGTCATTTCGCCCTACATCATATCGTGTATACTTATTTATCCTCTTTTTCTTAAAATATGTATTACCTATAACTAAACCCCTTTCTATACAAAGTTCAATCAAGGCTCCCATTATCATTTACACCTGGCACCCCAAACTTACCTACCACACCCTCTCTAAAAAGTTTCTCCACTTTAGCATTCAAGTCCCTACCACAATTACTCTCTCACTTGTTCAAAGGCTCCTATACATTCACTTAACATCTCCCAAAATCTCTCTCTCTCCTCTGCATTCCTCTCTTCTCCAGGTGCATACACGCTTATATGACCCCTTCTCGCATCCAACCTTTACTTTAATCCACATAATTCTTGAATTTACACATTCATATTCTCTTTTCTCCTTCCATAACTGATCATTTAACATTACTGCTACCCCTTCCTTTGCTCTAACTCTCTCAGATACTCCAGATTTAATCCATTTATTTCCCCCCACTGAAACTCTCCTACCCCTTCAGCTTTGTTTCGCTTAGGGCCAGGACATCCAACTTCTTTTCATTCATAACATCAGCAATCATCTGTTTCTTGTCATCCGCACTACATCCACGCACATTTAAGCAACCCAGTTTTATAAAGTTTTTCTTCTTCTCTTTTTTAGAAATTTGTATACAGGAAAAGGGGGTTACTAGCCCATTGCTCCCGGCATTTAGTCGCCTCATACGACACGCATGGCTTACGGAGGAAAGATTCTTTTCCACTTCCCCATGGACAATAGAAGAAATAAAAAAGAACAAGAGCTATTTAGAAAAAGGAGAAAAACCTAGATGTATGTATATATATATATGCATGTGCGTGTCTGTGAAGTGTGACCAAAGTGTAAGTAGGAGTAGCAAGATATCCCTGTTATCTTAGCGTGTTTATGAGACAGAAAAAGAAACCAGCAATCCTACCATCATGCAAAACAGTTACAGGTTTTTGTTTCACAGTCATCTGGCAGGACGGTAGTACTTCCCTGGGTGGTTGCTGTCTACCAACCTACTACCTAGATTAAATGTCATAAAATATCATAGATGGATTAATGGAAATGTCTATATTAATGTAATATATTAAATGTCATATATTACATTAATATAGACATTTCCATTAATCCATCTATGATATTTTTTCAAAATTATATAATGAACATGCTGCTTATATAACATATAAACATGATACATACACCCACAGTATAAAAATTGACATAATTATGAGATTAGTTTACCAAGCGGTTCGTGGGAGAGTCAGAAGAATTATGTTTTCTCTAGTCAAACACCAGTAACTTAACTAGAAATTTATTCCTTTTGTATGCCTTCACTTTATCTATAGCTATTCATGACCCTTGTGGGTTTAACTCTTCTATTTTATTATGATTATAATAATAATAGCTTGTAATAATAATACTTTGTAATAATAATAACAACTTGTAATAATATGTAATATGTAAAATAATAATTGTCAGAGCATCATTCCTTCTAAAAATTACAAGAGAATGGAAGTGTTGGTCTTTATTTATTCTACTGTACCACTGTGGAGACAGCTGGTATACAATGTAAAGTGTTTGTATTATGATAAAAGCTTTACAGATATGGAAATGAACTTGTATCAGCCCACCAGCTGTGTTCGTCTGTTTGTTTACATACTCTGCGGCTCTGTCCTCTCTTTTACTCGTTCTCTCTCATTTATTCATTTTTATATCGTTTACTTGCCTCTCGCCCAACATTAAGACTACAAATATTTTAAGGTAAGTAGTGAGTGTACTCTATATGCATTTTATCACTAGAGAGAGCTTTAGGTATCATTGTAGTACATTATGTGTGGGTGGGGTGGCCAGAAGGGCTACCATACCTCCCACACCTGACTTCTTACAATAAATACTACTCACCTTTTGCCCTACATTAAGACTACAAATATTTTGAGGTAAATAATGAGTGCACTGTGTGTGTGTATTTTACTTTTTATTGTTTTTTAATGCCTAGTTCTATTGCTAACTTAATATATGTTAGTGTAAACTTGTTATCTGGCATTTATATGCATTTATAAGTGGAAAAAAATGACATTTTGCTTTTTGGCGATGTCTGCTTTCCAGCAGTAGCCTGGAACCTAACCTGCCATTTAAGTGGGGCCCTATTGTAGTCAGTATTGAGTTGTGAGGATCGGCAGAAACAACCAAACAACCACCAGTGCCACCTGATGCAGAGGCGTCGCTAGAGATGGTGTCACCCGGGGCGGCATCTCTGGTGTCACCCGGGGCAGCATCTTTGGTGTCACCCCCATGAAATTCAAAGGTGGAGGGGTGGGGGTAAACTCCAGTTATGTCACTACTGCATGACCAGTGACTGATGTTTAGCAATGAGAACATTTAAGGACCATAAACTGAACAAGTGAATACTTCTCGACTTTATTAATGATAAAATAAATAAACATAATAATATTGAGGAAACAAACTCAAATACTACTTTGAGTACAGCCAACAGATCCTACATTTATTCATCTTTAACAATGCCAAAACAAAAAAAAAAACTTGAAAAATAAAGAAAAACATTGCAATATCAGAGAAACACTAATTCCGATCTGACCTTGAGTACAGGTAACATCTCAGTGAATCTGATCTTAAATATTCTTGCCTTCAGTTATGCAAAATCACTTATCTCATGTTAATACATAATAGGCTATATAGAAATGAAGGATTCTTCTCTTATGTTGGTGCAGCACTGTGTTGGGCATTAGTGTCACCTTCTTTAGAGGCTCTATGGTGTCACTCCCTAAATGGTGTCACCCGGGGCACCCCCCCCATTACGACTCCTCTGACCTGATGGTTGCCTATGGTTTGTTTAAGCCTAATGGTGAAATGGGGATGGTTAGTGAGCACTGAAATCTTTCATTGAGTTAGGGTTTTTTGGTCAAATTGAATTTGGATATACGAGAGGTGACTGTATGTGTAACTATCATGACTGGGAAATCACAAAGGAAGGAAAAGTGAAAGTGGTCGAATGGCTGGAACTTGACTAGCTTCCAGAAGGAAATGTTTACATGATGTAATGGCATTGATCACTTAGGGTTATATATTAAATTTAATATTAATTTTGTGTATTGTTAAAAGTCCTAAATTTCTCTGAAGACTGGTTTGGTAATGCATTTTTTAATTACAATTTATGTGTATTATTTCAGGATTGAGCCTCTGCTGTGCCCAGAATACTCTAATATTGCTCCAGTCCTGATCCATTCTTACAGTGCTACTGATAAGATACCTTATAATGAGATGCCGCTTGAACCAATCATTGTTTCCCGAGAAAAAGATTATAAAGACGGCTTGGAAAAATCAAGGGCAGACTCTGGGGGCAACACTCCTGTCTCATCTGTCCCCAGCACACCTGTAAAAGGTACGAGGGAATTTTGCAATTGTTTCTTCAGTTCTCTTCTTTCATTTAGAGCTTTTTTTTTTTTTTTAAAACGTCGACCGTTTCCCACCGAGGCAGGGTGACCCAAAAAGAAAGAAAAGCCCCAAAAGACGGAAAAAAAACTTTCATCATTCAACACTTTCACCATCACTCGTACATAATCACTGTCTTTGCAGAGGCACTCAGATATGACAGCTTAGACGTCCCTCCAATTATATTAGAGGCAGTAATATTAGAGGCTGTTGCACTACCTCAGTATCCAGGAGGGCAGTATTATTAGAGGGTGTTGCACTACCTCAGTATCCAGGAGGGATACATTTTGGGAGAAACTCCTGGAAGAGTGATTTTAAGTATATACACTGCTACTAAATTTACATAAGAGATGAAGAGTTAGTCAAACTTATTTGATGTAGTACAAATATTTTATTTAATAGAAATAAAATAAATTGTTTTACATGATGGTAGGATTGCTGGTGTCTTTTGTCTGTCTCAAAAATATGCAAGATTACAGGTACGTCTTGCTACTTCTACTTACTTAGGTGACACTACATGTACATGTACATGTCTGTTTATACACACTCATCTGAGTTTTCTTTGATTTTATCTTAGTAGTTCTTGTTCTTGTTAGGTTTCCTTTTATATCCATGGGGAAGTGGAATAAGAATCTTTCCTCCGTAAGCCATGCATGTTGTAAAAGTCAACTAAAATGCTGGGAACACTGGGCTAGTAACCCCTTTTCCTGTAATAATTACTAAAAAGAATTGGCTATAATTAATGCTAAGTAAATAAATGGAGGGGTTTAGGATATTGGCAGTTTGGAGGGATATGTTGTGTATCTTTATACGTATATGCTTCTAAACTGTTGTATTCTGAGCACCTCTGAAAAAACAGTGATTGTGTGAGTGAAGTGAAAGTGTTGAATGATGATGAAAGTATTTTTTTGGGGGGGATTTTCTTTCTTTTTGGGTCACCCTGCCTCGGTGGGAGACAGCCGACTTGTTAAAAAAAAAAAAAAATTTGTGTAATACATATTGTTTACCAGTCTGGCAACTTATGATAAGAGCCTTCTACCATTACCACTACCTGAAGGATGTTTTAGGGGCTCAGCATCCCTGAGACCCAGTCCAAGACCAGGCCTCCCAGTAGATCAAGGCCTTCTTAACCACACTATTATTAGGGTATAAATATTAAAAAACCTAGGTAGTAGGTTGGTAGACAGCAACCATCCAGGGGGGTACTACCATCCTGCCAAGTGAGTGTGAAACGAAAGCCTGTAATTGTTTTACATGATGGTAGGATTGCTGGTGTCTTTTGTCTGTCTCATAAATATGCAAGATTACAGGTACGTCTTGCTAAATAACAAAAAAAGGCACCACCACCTCTTCCTGCCTATATATAGCCATCCTGCTCCACTTCTGGTTAGTGTGACTTTGTAAATGGTCCAAGTCGGACTGAAACGTGGTCGTAAGCTTCTCTCTCTTATGTGTGGGTTATTTGTGTAACGTCTTGCTACTTCTACTTACACTTAGGTCACACCACACACACATGTACAAGCATATATATACACACCCCTCTGGGTTTTCTGCTATTTTCTTTCTAGTTCTTGTTCTTATTTATTTCCTCTTATCTCCATGGGGAAGTGGAACAGAATTCTTCCTCCGTAAGCCATGCGTGTTGTAAGAGGCAACTAAAATGCCAGGGGCAAGGGGCTAGTAACCCCTTCTCCTGTATATAATACTAAATGTAAAAGGAGAAACTTTCGTTTTTCCTTTTGGGCCACCCTGCCTTGGTGGGATACAGCCGGTGTGTTGAAAGAAGAATAGTGTTGCAGCTCTTCAGTGGTAAGTACATTCATTACTTACCTTAAAATATTTGTAGTCTTAATGTAGGGCAAGAGGTGAGTAGTATTTATTTGTAGGAAGTCAGTGTAGGTAGCCAGTTAATATAGGTACACGTATGTAGTCCCTCTGGGTTACACCTACCAGCTACCTACACTGCAGAACACAGCTATGTTATTACCATCGACAAATCATGTTCACTGAGTTTAATCGTTTCTAACAACTACCTTTAGATGCCATCATAAACAAAAGGAGAAGTACATAATGAATAATTCGTGCCGAGAATTGTAAACAAGCGCATGTTAAGGGTGGTGGCTGGGCCAGATGCCAAATTCACAGTTTTCTCTAACACTCAACCAGAGAAAATGTAATGTTTACCCTCCACCTGACTCGCCGCTCAATAGCATATAAATATTGCATGTTTACATGCTATGTGCTATGTAACGTGTTTCTTATACTGTATGTAATTTTGAAGAAAATATCATAGATGGATTAATGAAAATGTCTATCTTAACCTAAAATAAGACATTTAATGTGCCCAAGAGTGATTATTATTATGTATTAGTATTATAACTATGGCGTCAAGACTTGAGGGACACTCTTAGTGAATGAGTAACAAAGGCATATTTATATGAACTATGTAATGTGTTTTTTACATATATAATTTTGAAAAAAATATCATAGATGGATTAATGAAAATGTCTATATTAACCTGAAATAAGACATTTAATGTGCCCAAGAGTGAGTCATGAACATATGGGCTGCCCAGGTGAATGCATCGGGTACCAACGATTTCCGAACGGATGCACGAAATCCAGGGGAAAATTTCGCTAAAAAAGTGCTCGATTTCTGAATTGGCCAATTTCTACACCAGCCAAAAACCGGGGGTCCACTGTATAATTTTTTATGCATTTTAACACTTAATATTAAGAAAAATATAATTTAATAATTTTGTATGCCAAAGAAAAAAGGGTTGCATGAATTACAGTATACCAAAGAAAATGGGCTTGCATGAATTACAATACATATGGGGGTAACATTGGTATTTTACATTCTAACACTGCAGGAGACATAGCGGTACAGTACAGTGCTGTATATGGGTTTCTTTACATTTTTTTTTTAACCCCTTCAGGGTCCAAGGCCAAAATCTGAAGTGGTGCCCCAGTGTCCAAGAATTTAAAAAAAAAAACTGTTATTTTTTCATATGAAATGGTAGAGAATCTTTTTGTGAAGGTAATAAAACAAAAAGTACGAAATTTTATGGAAAATTGATGAAATTATGCTCTTGCGAATTTTGATGTGTCAGCGATATTCACGAATCGGCCATTTTGCCGACTTTGACTCCCATTTTAGGCCAATTACATTATTCCAGTTGACCAAATTCTTAGCTGTTTCACTAGTATTACTTCTATTCTATCGATTGAGCACAAGAAATCGCCAAGTCAACTGTTTTAACTACAAAATAAAGTGTTTGGAAATTGGAAATTTTGGGCCCCAATTTTAAAACAGAGTTCAAAATATTCCAATTTCAAAATAGGGTCCAGAATAAACAATGTAGGTATTCCTGGCACCAAACAACATTTCCTCTGTTCAAATTTGTTATGGGTTTTTAGGCTTTACAAATAAATTCCATTTTGATTTTTATTCACATAATGAATTTTTATTCACACCAAAAAATAGAAGATTTACTGTTAGCAATATTGTAATAATTGTATAAATATCATCACCACATTTGTGAATGTATATTAGACCCACCAGCTGGCGTGTATTAGACGTGTGAGGCCGTTTGTTTACTCTTGAACATTGGCAAAAATTTAACATTTCCGCTTCTTTGAGCTCAGTTTCAAGCCATTTCCAGTGCTAAAACCAATCGAAATCATCACTATTTCTGTAATATATCTTCCATTCTATCAAATGAGACCAAGAAATCACAAATACAGCTATAAAAAACATACGGAAAAACACTGCAAAGTCGCTGATTTAATCGAAAATTACGGTCTCAGTTTTTTTCTCTCATTATACACAGTGTGCTGCAGGATTTGTTTTATGTGGTGCACACATACCACATAGATGTATTCTCTCATATCTAGGCCCAAATTTACCACTCGTAGTTTATCAGAGTGAGCTGAGCTCATGGCGTAGATCTACGGTTTGGACCCTGAACGTAAAGCCGTAGATCTACGGGACGGACCCTGAAAGGGTTAAGGGTGATGTATGAAACTGAATTTGAAATTAAATTAGTGTTTTGGGTGCATATTTAGGATTTAAACTATAAAAATAGGCATTTTTAGGCATTGTTTTAAGCATGTCCAGAATTTGCAGTTTTTGCGAATGGATGGGGAATACTGCTTCAGTTGAAATCATTGTAATGGATTATTTTTTTTTTATTGAAGAAAGCTTATTCATGTTTTTTCAGGGGGAACGAGTTCATGGAGTTTATGGGGGTTAATGAAAGGGAGCAAGAAGCTTACTGATACTGGTTCCAGCACTCAGGATCTTATCCCTTCTCTCCAGGATGTAAGAAGTGAGTTATTACTTGGGGTTCAATAATACTTCTTATGAAAAATTACAAATTTTAGTGTGTACAACATGTGTGAAAAACATGTCAGTGCCCTGTTTATAATATGGTCATAATATTTATTTTCATCATTTAATTGATTTTTTACAGTTTGGTCTCTGACACTAGACAGGATAGGCAAAGTTTTGACTAAAATGCTTAGAGGTGATCATGAATGGTTTATTATGCTTAGCTAGACAGATGTTCAATTGTGGTTATTTTTGTATTAAATATCAGTATGTTTGATCTCAAAACAGAAAATTAATTTATAAAAATTCCTCATTACTCATTGCAAACAAAAATTATTCCATATATCTTGATAAAGAGAAATGTGAAATGAGTACACATGCACCATACAGCTATACGTTTATGTAAAAAAAAAAGTACATACTTGAACATTTAGGAAAAAAATAAAGGAAATGGCCATGAATAATAATTCATTTTATATTAAAAAATTGCATAATGTAATTCTGAACAATGAACAATAATACATATATGATGAACATTCATATGATCACATTTTCTTGTTCCTTCAGACATTGAGTCACTTTAACATGGTGGTGTGGTTTGATTTGTGTAGGGGTAGGGAGGCCTGTTCTGGGAAGGTTGCCACACTCTCTAAAAGGTGCTTGTCTAAGAACCCTTCATCTCTTTCAGCATAATTGGTGGGGGTCATTTCCACTTTCATCTTAAATTTGCTCGTTCCTGGCCTGTAACATGTAATGTTTTATGGACACGATTGCAGAATGTCAAAATTGGGCTTTGAATAGTTTCTTGCATTGTGATTTTGATTTCTGTAATACCAGGGTGAACTGGCCATGACAGTGCCAAGTTGGCATCGGTAAGAGTAAATTTGTTATAATGTTAGCAACACAATACTACGTTTAAAGCACTTAATCAAAAGATTGTAGTATGTACTGTGTAAATACAATAGTACAATACTACATTCACTTCATGGTGAACTAAGGAGAGAATGTTTTGTTGCTTCTCCTGACTTCATTGCTCCATACATTGTACCCTAGCTATAATGTTCAAAGGGTCATAGAATGATTCCAGCCACATGAAAATTATGAATAAGAGCAAAATTGAAAGACACATTTTTTGACTTGCTAAAAAAATATGAACATGCACCAAATGGTTATTTACCAAAAAAAAAAAAAATAATTTTTCAAAAAAAAAAAAAAAAAAGAAAAAAAAATCCATCCACAATTTGATCATGTATTGTATATCATACACATGTCATTGTGCTGCCAAAGGAGATGATACTAATTTTTAAAGCTAATCTCTAAATTTTGCCATATTTCAGAATTTTTGTTCAGAAGAACTGAACATTTCTCCTAATCCACACAGTTTACTTGAAACAATGTTATGCCAGAAAAGTTTTGATCACACTGGTTGGTGAAATACCCTGATTAAATCAGGTGCAGTATTTACTATTCTAAGTTGTAATGTACAAGTAGTTTGTGAATTTCATGCCTTATAGCTCGAGGTTTTGCTGCCTTTATAAAGAAAATAGTGTGTTCTATGACTGACATCTGCATTGTTACTTATTTTGTCTGGGTATAGTTTTCTCAACTCGACTAGTTAACGTGTTATGTGCCAAACCTCTCCACTACCACACAGTCTTGTCAGCATTATAAATTTGATTTGATTCAGATTGATTTTATATTAATGAACCTATTCTTCTTTGCTTTAAATGGTGCATTGGTAGATGCATCTCCAATTAATGATTCACCTATTTACATTTTATTTTTAATATTTGAAGCTTTAAATTTAGCAACCCAGCCATTGCTTGCTTTAAAGTCGATTACCACTAACCTGGGGGGCCAACCCCTATCCTATACCTTTCAGTTCTTCATTCATATGCCTGTTTTATCAGCTTATCCTGAAGAAACTGCTAGTGTACAGCATTATCCTCACTTTTGGTGCAGTACTGCATTTAGGTGGCTTCACTGCCTTACTACTAAAACCTATTCTCAAAAAGCTAAACAGCTTAATATGTTGGCTTTCGGCTTCTTTGTAATGGAAAATGTGTTCACAATTGGTTTTTGTGCTGCACCAATTTTATCATGCCATATCTGTTCATCACCATTTCAGTTGTCAGATGATTCTTCTTACAATTACTGTCATGTTGTTCATACTACTACACTTTTAAGTGTGGTATGACTGTACATAAATATACAGTATACTGGTATATAAAGGCTTCAGGGATTTGGCTTGGAGGCTTTGATGAATTGGAGTCTCTGTAAAGCAGCTATATTGTGCTTTCATCTAGCTGAACAGCGATGTTGTATAATATGTTTGGATAAATATGTATATATCAGCTACATATCAACCAATGCAATTACTGTGTAAATTTCATAACACATTTCTCATGCCACTTGGCACATTTCTAATAATTACACCTGTTACTCTGATTACACATGTAACTGTATTACACATCACAGTGAGAAAAGTCTAATGGGGGGTACAAATGAAAATTTAATAGCTAATTAACCTGTCAAATTGAGAGTCAAGGCCATGAGCTACAACTTCTCCGTTCTCACCTCCAAACTCCTAAAGCCATTTACATTTCTTAGTTAACCCCTTTGACTGCTCAGACCCCCAAAATTAATAAATTTTTCCTTCTGAAATGGTAGAGGACCTTTTTCTAAAGGTAATGACACTAGAAGTATGAAATTTGATAGAAAACTTGTAGCATTAAGCAGGCACAAAGTTAGCAGTCTTGGTACAATTTACACATTGGCAGTTTCGTCCTACTTTAAGCCAGTTCCATTGCTCCATTTGGTCGGACTCTTAGCTATTTTGCTAGTATGCCTTGTGTTCTATTGAGTGAGCACAAGAAATCCCCCATTCAAGTATTACAACTACCCTATAAAGTTCCTGTCCTCGGGAAAATCTGCAGAAATCTAATATTTTCACTTCTGGTCCTGAAACCAATAAAAATCATCTCTATTTCAGTATATCTTCTGTTCTATCAAATGATTGCAAATAACGGCAAATAAAACATAAAAACCATCCTAGAAAATACCTCGGTCACCATACATATGGTAAAAGTTTTGCTTTTCTCATCATGCACTTCGTGGGGCTGGACTTTTCTTTTTTATACTGTTCATACTCGTCACAGAGACCCATTCTCTCCTATCTAGGGCCAAAATTTACTACTTGCAGCTTATCTGGGTAAGCTGAACTCGCGAACTCATAACATAGAACTATGTGAGGGATCTTGGACACAGTGGTGTAATTCCATGTGACTGCCACTGAATGGGTTACTAATTACACTATCTAATTAATGTGATGACCTGTTCATTTCAGCATAACATAATATACAGTGTTTTTACCTCCTTGCTTATCCTTTTTCTATATTCTCTATTACTTATGTTGTATATTCAGTGTCAAATATCACTTGTTTCAATACATTTTGTGCCTGAGATCCAACCCCTTGCCATACCTTGCTTATTGCCCTCAACATTTTACCTTTTGGAACTTGCATTGTACTTTGTCTTGAAGTGTGTTTTTCACCTTAATGTTATTCCTCTTACAAATTAGCATAAAAATTGTTTGTAATATTCCTGAACTTTTAACTGCTTGTCTTAGGTTTGTCGGACCGCACAGATTTTGTGCTGCGTGAAGGTAGTATGGAGAATAGTTACATCTCAGCCATCACTTCTCACACATCGTACTGGACCAACTACGATGTATCACACTTTCTCCTCAGCATCCTCTACCCTGATATGCAGCCCACTTCTAGTAAATTGGAGGGTATAAAGTCCTAATTTTACTCCTTTTTTTTTCTTTATAATGTAATGGTATACTTCTGTAAACACAGTAGTTATACCTCACCATTTCTTTACCAAGAAATTTTAAATATTAAAAAAGGGTATTGACCTGTTACTCCATATTGATATGATGGAAGTTCTGATGGGGACAAGTTTCATATTGGTAAAAGCATATACATATATAATAATCCTCATGAAATTTAAGTAGTCACGAATGAAGCAGTAACACTGCTCATTTAAGATGTTCCAGGGATTAAAAGATAAATAATTTGTAGTCTCTGCCATGTCTTGGCACTGTACTGCTCATATTACTGTTGGTACTTTATTATAATTAGGGCTGAGGGGACATTATATGATGCAAAATTTAGTCTATGCATTTGTGTTCTCAACTCAGTGGCCCATTAATGTGGAAGGAAAGAATTTGACAGTCGTTCAATAAAATGAACAAATAATTTATATTGTTCTTACAAGCATTCCCATATGGTATCAAGTTATGATGTTGATAATGGATATGAAGTGTGTAAAAATTAATTTTTTTTTTAAATTTTAGCATAGTATACTTATGTATTTAGCTCAATCTTTATATTATGCAGTGTTTATTTAAGTAATTTATTTTTACTGATCAGTGCTGATCGGTAATGATAAGGCCTGACTTCTATTCATATTATTTACTCAATTTGTAATTATTTGAACTCTTGTTTAAAAATGTTTCTTCAGATAATTATAATATATTCATTGAAGAACTGCACAAAGTCATGGAAGTAAATTTGAGTGATTGTTGATACACAAGACTTTTCATCTTAGGCTGGTGATAGGCTAGCAGTAGGTGAGCTCCATTAAGGGGTCTTGGTATAGATGTTGATATTTTTCATTTCTTCCATGAGAGGGTAGTATAATTGAGGTCTTCATTAGCAAAGATAAAAGAGGAAAGCATTGTGGACTACAGTAAGATATTAAAAATTAAAAAAAAAAAAATCATCAGTTATTGAATTTAAGCCAAGGGTTAATTTAAACGGCAGTAGTAACACATTTTACAGCCCATAGCATTTGACATAAGCCAGGCTGGGCAGCATCAGCATGTTGCTGTTCACTGTGATATGTGCATAGCTGGTGTGTAATTATCTTGTCAAGTCCTTATCTTTGCTAATCAATTGTCAAGTGAGTTCCACTTTAGAAGTGTGATGTGATATTGATAAAAACTTGTAAGAAATGCGTTTAAATTTTTCATTACCAGTGCAGATTAAATGCATGTGATAAATTATTCATCATTATTGTTGTTTCACGTCATTTAATGATCATAGAGGATTATTATTCTTGAGTAAGTTTCTGCATTTATAGTAGGTTTAGTAATGAAATGCAGTAGTTTTAAGAAGTTAGCTATTTACTCTTTATTTAGTCATGTTTTATAGCAAATTTGTTACCTATATACGGTATTTTTTGTTTGGAGTATTTATATTGTACTTTCAGTTGTTTATTAAATATTTATTGTACCTGAAGCAAAGGATAAAGAATTAAGTGAAAAAGGTGTTCATTTTTTTTCAAAGGGTGAATGTATTACAATATAAAGAATTTTATGAAGTACAATTTTGCTGGGCTAATAAGAGATCAAAAGTTTTTTCTACAGGACATTTATAATATCGATGTTAGGAATGTTTATATTGCAGTTACATGAACTTGTGACATCATATTCTCAATGTGGCTTATCTGGTTGTGAGATGGACATCAGTATTGCAGGTTGATAAAAAAATTAAATTCCATGACTAAACTATTAGTGTATTGTCTTGTAAGTTTTGTCATCACTCTCTCAGGCTGTACATTGCACCGTCTTCACTTTATGATGCAGGATGGGGCCAGACATGGTTTGTCCAGCTGCAGTGTTCTTTAGTTCCCCCTCAGTTTTTTTGTGTATCCTAGTCGTAAGCATTAGGCAAAAATGAAAATTATTTTATTTTGTAATTCCAGTACAGTAATATAAATTTTATTGCATTAATCTTGTAAATAGGATTTTTTTTTGGCTTGTTAAAATGGAGTGTAGGTGTATTCTAATTCTCAGAATTATTGATATTTTCTTTATATTTAGGTGTATGGCAAACTTTATATGTCCAACCACACTTTGTTAAAGTCCTGAGTTGTAACAGTTGCAGTGATATTTGAAATCTTGTAGAGTACGCTAGATATTTTTAGCCTACATTAGCCTACTGCAATGGAGCCTCGTAGTTTGATATGCTCAGCTCGAGGCCAACCTAGTCTGTGATATGCTCGAAGCCTCTCTCCGGTTTCTCGGCTAAAGTCCACTATTGTTAATCCAGCCGAGTCCTAAATGCTATTCATCGACACGTATGGCAGATCATGTTTTACTTTTTTGTGATGTGCATTTACTGCCATGCTTATTGGTTGTAAAATAATGTGACATGTGTGGATATTGATGTTAGGAAGAGGGATTAAAGATGGTTGACTGAGCTTGGACTTTTTTTTCTTTTGTGAAGGAAATATTGTTTGAACTGTTGACATTACACCCTATGGGATAAACTGAGATATGCTACACAAACATTATTATGTCATTACATGTTAACAAGGTAATGCAATCCAATAGAGAATGCAGTAGATTAAAGGTTTTCATGTCCATAAGGTTACCTTATGCTGTACATGCATCTCGTTTACCTCTTTATTCTTAGACATGATGGCTGCTGGACCTTCCAGTGATTCTGGTTTTAGATAATGTTCTCTATGCATGTGTAGCTTAGCTAAGTTAATGTGTATCAGATTTTCTTCATATACAGTATCTAATTCAATTTTTTATGTTGACATATCAATAATTATTCTGTAATGATTTCATAAAAGGTAATCTTTACAGATCTGCTCTTATTATATTCAGCATTTAGACCTAAGGGAAAATATTACTTTGAATGATGGCATTTCTTGTGATTATTCATTATATTTATGGAATGACTATTGGAAACCTGGCTATATGGTAGGCAGGTATAGGCTTAGTGAATCAACCAGCCTGCATATCTACTAGTGGCATCTAGTGTCCTAAAAGAAATATTATGGGACTAGCATAAAGTTTTTAACTTGTCTTATTCTATTCACTACACTTTTGGATGAATTTAGGGATAAAATTTAGAATTTCTTTATAAATTATTGTAATGAAAATGCAGTTCATGAAACATGCCAAAAGTTGAAGGAAGTTCACATGTAATGCAAACATTTTGAGGCAGTAAATTTGCATACCTGTGAATTATAGCCTTGAGCATCTAGGTTCTGCATCTATCTCTTAGCAGTGAGACTGTCAGAATAATAACACATAACAGCCTTGGCTGCCTTTAAGTTGAATGTAATTTGCCCCCCTTTAAATTAATTTGTGAAATAAACAAAAAAAGGTTACAGTAGCCCCCAAAAAAATTTGAAAGGATTTTCCCCAAGGGAACCCCCCGCAAATTTTAGAAAAACCGGAATTTTGGAAACGCTTTTAAAAAAAATCCCCATAAAAGCCAATTTTTTTTTTTTTTAAAGCCTCTTCAAGGGGGGCTCCTTGGCGGGGTTTTGAAGGGGCTCTTGGCCCTGAGGAATTGGGCCCTATCGGTCTTTTCCCTCAACCAAACCAAATTTCCCCCCCCCAAATCTCCCCCCCCCCTTCCCCCACCCTCCCCTTTTTTTTTCCTCCCCCTCCCCCCCAAATCCCCCTTTTTTTCCCCCCTTTCCTCTTTTGCCCTTTTGGGTTTTTCTCCCACAGTCCGATAGTTCCTAGGTGGGAAAAGGGAAAACCCGGGGTCCCCCCTTTCCTTGAGGTTTTTTGGGGCGGGGCCCCCCGTAGTTTTCCCCGGGGAAAATCTGGTTTGGCCTGGGGATGTCCCGATCCCTCTCCCGGAAACCCCGGGAGTAGTTTTTGGGTGTTTTTGGGGCGAGGGTTTGTACTCTGGAACCCACCTTTCGGTTCCCGGGGGGGGTGGCTGAAGGAGGTAGTTTTTGTGGCGGATACCGGCCCCCCTCTCTTTTGTCCCCCCCGAGGTACCCTGGGCAGATGTGGGGTTGCTATCCCAGTTTTGCGGGTTTTACGGGCATAAAAGGGTGGGGTAGGGCAGGGGTTTCCCATGCTGAAATCTGCGCTACTAGGGGTTTCGAGCCCCTTGGGGCCCGGGGGGAGTTTTTTGGGCCCCTTTCATCCCTCCTAAAAAACTTTTCCCTTTCCCGGGCCCCCCCTTTTTTTTTTTTTTTTTTTTTTATTTTCTTTTCTTCTTTTTTTTTTTTTTTTCTTAAAAAACAAAAAAAAAAGAAAAAACCAAACCCAATGGCACCCCTTTTCCATGAACCGGGTTCCCCCCGGGCCCCTTTCCTTGATACCCCCCCCTTTCTGACCCCGCCTCGTTTTTGGGACCACTCTTCGGGTTTCCCAGGGCCTCTGTCCCTATTGCTGGTGCTTTTTTTCCCCCCCGCTTCGGGAAACTGAGGCCCTCGACTGATTTCCTTCGTTTTTATCAGACCTTCCCCTCTCCTCGGGACTATGCTTCCGGCCTCTCCCTCTAGGTGCGGAAATTTTTAAATGCCGCCCCTTTTCCCCCCGTCGGCCCAAAACTCTGGTCCCCACCCCCAAAAAGTCAACGACTTTTAACCTGCTGATGATACTTCTCCCCCTTTCCCCTTTCTCTTTCTTCTCAAAAAACGATCGAAAACGTCCTTCACTCCTTTTCCCAAACCCTCATTTTCAGACTGAGCAGTGGCCCAAAATTCTTCACTTTACGCCCAAACTCCTCTACTGCCTATCTTTCGGGACCATAGTTTTGGGCAAGGAAATCCTAACCATGTTGGAAAAAAGATATTTTTTTTTCTTTGCTCTTAAGAGCGGAAACGCGCTTTTCATTACCGACAAAATTTGCTACCCAGGCTGGGTGAGCCCCTCCCCGTTTTCCCCCATTTGATACTTTTCCCGCACCCTTGAAAACTTTTTTTCCCTCAATTTTGATTGGAAACCGTTTTCTGCCCCAAAACCTTTAAAACCCCAAAAAATTTTCCCAGCCCAGGTGGCACCAAACATTCTAGAACAGCTGGAACCCAAAAACTCCCAATCCTAAAGGGTTTGACATTTAACGTTTTTTTTCCCTCCCCGTGGGCGGAGACGAAAACCCTAGAAAATTGTGGCTCTTTTAACTTTTGACACCCCGAGAACTCCCATCCCCTTTTTATATAGAAGGCCCTGGTTTAAAAGTTTGGGAAAGGTGATCCCACACCACAACGTGAAAAAATTTGCTGGCGTTTTGGCCCCCAGCGAAAAAATTGAGATCTACCCCCGAATGCCCGGTCTGTGGTGCCGAGGGACCATTCTAATACTTCTTGAAAATTCGATCCCCCTCTTCCCCTTAACTGTCATGAGGCTCACCCTTTCGTACCTCGCCGTTGCAGGCCCTATTAAACGAGGGAAACCCCCTTTAAACCTCAAAGGGGGACAGAAGGTCCCCCCTTATGCCATGGCTTTTTCCCTCATCTCCCGCCCCCAAAGGGGAGCTCCCACTTTTTCTTATTCCCGGTTTAAAAAACGTCCCCCCCCCTTCTGGTATCCCATTTTAACCCACCTCTGGGGTTTTACCTCTCCCATAATCACTCCTGATTAACCCTTTTGCTGCCCTGGGTTCAAAACGTCCCAAACTTCAACGCCTCAGTTTATCTCGTTCTTCGATTTCTCTTTTCAAGCCTCAGTATCCGAGCCCTGTACAACCCTCTTTCCCAAAATCTTTTCCCCTCCCTTCTCAAAAGTCAAAAAAAGGTCCGGTAACCCCTCCTCCCCACTTCCACCTCCTCATTTTACCCCCCCTGTTCTGTCCCCTATTTTTTTCCCCCTTCACTGGCCATTTAAAAGGCAGAGGTTCACCCTCCTCCTCGTAATGAAACCTTTTCCCCCCCTTTTTCCCTCCCAATTTTTCTTCCTCTTTTTTGCCACCTCCCGGGTTTCCCTGTCTCTTTGCCCCTCCCAAACGCTTTTTCCAGTTCCCTCCACCCTTTCCCCCCCCCCCTACCTTGGTACAGCCCCAATCCCTTTCCAATCTTTACCACCCTCCCCCAAACCATTCCCAATATTGTCTCCCATACGACATCTTAAAATTCCAAAAACATTTGAAGAAAATCTCGAATATATTGAAAAACCAAACCACAAGGGACATTTGATCCCCTTTCCCGCTTTCCCCCTTCCCCCTCGCTCCATCTGCGAAAACCCCTTTCTTCACAGCGCCCCGTTCCTTCCCTCCCCTTAAAATTTTTCCAAACCGCCCGCAGGGGGGATTTCCCCCTAACCCTTCTAGTCCTTTAGGAACCCTTACCTGGGGATTTCAATTTATCTTTATAAATTCCCAATCTTTCCCTTTTTAAAAAGTGGAATTTTACGCGGCCTCAGGGGTAATCGGGGTGAGCTTCAGATTTTACTCTTCCCAGTTTCCCCGTTGGTGTTTGCTTACGGGAAACCAAAATTACATTTGCTGTTATTTCTCACTCTCGGGAAAAAATTTATTGTATTCTTCAACCCTTTTTCCCTAAAGGGCCCTTTTTATAAAAAGTGCCCTTCTTCTCCGCACTGATTTTCCCTCCCCAGCTATTTGTTCAAAACTTCGCTGCAAACACAGCCCCCCTTTCCCACTTAAAAGGTGGTATACGCCCCTTTCTTTAATCCTCTCCTTCTGGGGCATTATCTTTTTCCGGATTTTGCCTTCCTTGTTTCGTAAATTAAACCCCCCACCGATTTGTTCCCTTGGTGTTTTTAAAATGCCCCCTTTTTCCTCGGGGGGAGGGTTTCCACTGTGATTCCCGGGGGAATTCGTTAGAGGCTTTTTTTTTTGCCCCCCCAACCCCCTCCATGTTTTAAAACGGTATCCCCCCAAATTTGAACCTGGGGACTCATACTCTTTTCTTGCATCATCTCTAAATTTGCTCTTCCTCCGCCGAAATTAGATTTTTATTTGGGTCTTTTTTCTCCCGGATTTTCGGGACTTTGATTTTTTCCCCAATTCATTTTTTATTTCCCCCCTTTCATTTTTCGCCCCCCTTTTTCCCCACCCCACGTGGAAAATTTAATCGGGAAAATTTGGGAAACCTTTACTCACACCTGGACGTTTTTAAAGAGGTTCCTTTTTTCGTCCCCATCGATGAGCTTTTTCACCTCTTTCGTCCCCGTTTCAAAACCCCAGCTTTTTCATTCTATACCCCCAAAATTCGGGCAGGGGGATTCTCAAAATGGGTGCCTTGGGGGGTTTTCCTGCTTGTTTTCTCGTGCAATACGGTTTTAAACCCGGGATGGGGGAGGTCCGGGACAATAAAACCACAGAGCGGGCTCCTTGATTTTAAACAGGGAACGTGCGATCGCTCGCCGTGTCATCCCTACGCTAAACGCACTTTCGGCGAGATTATGTCTCCACCCTCACCTCCCGCTTCCCCTAGGGGTGCAGTCTGGAAAAAAATACGAAAACGAAATGGTAAAT